CACTAACTTACGTGTACTATTAGAGCATTTATGTAATTTATTTAAACTTTATTTTACCAGGTAAATTAACTGAAAACCAGTTCTCACTGCTTTACGTGATATTCCGGAGAAATAGCAGATTACGCATCGGAACTGCCTGGGATACAAACGTTGTGCGTGTAATTAAACTCTTCAGCCAATAAGGTCAAAGGTGTGTCGTCACGGAGGCGGTTCCAGTTTGTGCAGCTGGGTGAGAGGTCGCAATGCATCTAACCGTAATGCATTTTGTCAGGATCAGAAAGCGTTGCTTTAAGCCAGCGCTGTAAGGAAGTCGAACGCACTCAATGACCGGACTGGGGAAACAAACTGAAACACGGACTTAATACAGAGGACTAATGACAACAACCAGAAACAGCTGATCACATGGGGATCCCACACGAGGTTAATAAGGGGGCGTGGCACACGGAAGGAGCGGATGATCGGGACAGGACAGGGGTAAAGATCTTTATCGTTTTGGAAGCCATTAAGAAAAAAATGCTCTTCTTGTTTTAACCTGTTCAATTTGTTTTTAAATGGTAAAAAAAAACATATTTAGGTGTAATTTTGGGGGGCCGGGAACCAATTAATTGGTTTTCCATTATTTCTTATGGGAAAAATTCGATCAGAACTCGAACTTGTTAGGATTCGATCCGGAGTCCGGAATGGATTAAGTTCGAGAACCGAGGTACCACTGTATATATTTTTGCTAAATCTGTAACATTGGAAACCATTGGATACATTTGGATCAATTACACAATTAAGTATGAGAGAAGAGAAATTAATATGACAGAGAATTACCACATCAGAGAATTATAAAGAGTGATTTTTGCTGTGAAAGGCAGAAGTTTTTGCAGCAGTTTTCCCCTAAAATCAAACATGTTTATTCTTAGTCTAATTACTTTTGGTAATAAGCAGCATGAGTTCCTTGGAGGGGTTAGCTACATTGCCAGTGGTCAGTCCATAAATTTCATATACAATTGCATTTCATTCTCTCCTTACCATCTCTGGTTCTGCTCCTTGTTCTGGCTTGATAGACCAGCTGTTTTCCATCCAAACACATGTACTGATGATTGGTATTCTGAATGAGCTTCGGAGTGTTCTCTGAATAGGTGAAACCATCGCATTCATAAATTTCTGCAGGTCAGGAGGGAGAAAAACTGCAATTAGTGGGAGAGAACTTCTGTGTTGCTTAGGGGGAAAAAGAAATCTTTCTCAAAAGGATTGTGATTGTATTATGTGCATGGGCGTCACTGCAATTAAATCTGAGGGGGATTATGTGCATGGGCATCACTGCCATTAAATCTGAGGGGGATTATGTGCATGGGCATCACTGCCATTAAATCTGAGGGGGATTATGTGCATGGGCGTCACTGCTATTAAATCTGAGGGGGATTATGTGCATGGGCGTCACTGCCATTAAATCTGAGGGGGATTATGTGCATGGGCGTCACTGCCATTAAATCTGAGGGGGATTATGTGCCAACATGTCAGCAAGGGCTATTTATCTTTGCCAGCCTGGTTCTACTCAGAGGTGGTCTAACAAGAATTCTCTGTTTGTTTGGAAGGAAATAACAGCCCACAAAGGGACATACAGCAGCGTGGAACAAAGGAAACAGCTTAATGTTTCCAGTGGGCTGTGGTTGCAGCCCATTACGACACATACCAGAACTTAGATTTTAGGTATTTAGTTTTAGATATTAACTACAGGGTGTTCGGATGCTGTCAAACTGTCAACCCATCATCCCTGTGCACAGATGTCGTAAAACATCCTGTAACTAAACAGTCACGAGCACATTCTCTTTCCAGTGTACTAATCCTGCCAGTTTAGCCAGATTCTGTCGCACTCTGTTTGAATTTTTTTTTTTTTTTAATAAAAATGCCAATCCACAGTCTTCGGCCAAAGAAAACGGCATTAGCATGCAATGCCTGGTGTATCCCCCCAGAGAGAGTTTTGGGAGTTTTGTAGTCGTCCAAGACAGTAAATTTTTGGAGAATTGGGGGATGTTCCACGAAGCAGGATTTCTCAGTTAGCTGGGTTAACTTAAGCTAAAAGACAGGATTGTCCAAGAGGAGTTTCTATTGGACAATCACAAGCTTTAGCTTAAGTTAGTTCAGCTAATTGAGAAACCTTGCTTTGTGGAACACCCCCTTTAACCACCAATTATTATTGCATTTAATTGTACTGTAGTACTGCTTGTTTGTATATATTCTAATGTTAAATTGTGTTTTTTTTTTTCAGCAAATACACTTACAGCCCGAAAACTTACTTTAAACATAATTTGATTTTGTGGCCTGATTATATGTAAATTATTATTATTGTTATTATTATTATTTGCCCAATCTGTGTCAGACAACTAAATTTGTTTGCTCAAACGCTGTTTCACCACAGACGTCTTGAACGCTGTCGCACTGACGTCGTTAGATATACAAACAGTAAATTACTTACGTAATGTACATGCAGACCTCATCGCTGGTTTAAAATCATTTTATGGACTAAAGAGGAAATAAGCGCAAGATGTCACATGACGTCCGCGGCTTAGGCCCACGACAGACCACAAAACGTCGCTTTCTGGCAGATTATTTTTAGGAACATTTCATGGTACTTTGGGGCAGTATTTTTCAACCGATGCGCAGCGTGTGATTGAGAAACGCTGCTTTGGTAGTATGGAACAAAACCAACTATTTTTAATTTTATGTAGCTATTTTTACAAATTCATAACGGGTGTGAAGACCATCGGAACACCACCGTGTCTTACCCTGGAAACAAGTTCCATCCATTAATTCAAAGGTACTCTCTAGCTGAAAGGTGTGATCCATCTTTTCAAACGTTGACTGTTCCTGTGTATAGCCAAAGAAAACAGAAAATGACATAACCATCAACTGCTAGAAATCACTTTATGATTCAGTGATTTTGAGATACATAAAATTTCTTAACACTAAAGATTGCAGATTAAATATTAAGGCGAAGACTATAGATTGCAGTACGTTGCGCGAGTATGTATGATTTGCGTTGATTGGATCTTTAACATTAAATCTGTGTTCGGCGCTAAATTCGTTTTGTTCTGACTTGAAGAGCACGTATAAGAACATTCAGTTTTAATAAAAACATCTTAGGCAGGAAGATACCTTAAGTAAAGTCACGTTTCTGTTAACATAGTAGCGTGCTTCTTTCGACATCACGCCTCTCGGCTTTGTAAAGTCGTAAAGAGTTTAATCATTTATAATAACAATTCGAGATACTATTCAAAATGCAGCATCCAACGCAACTGAACGTGAAACCCCGACCAAACACCGGATTGGCGATTTGTTGAAAATGGTTCGCTTAATAACACCTGTATTAAGATCGCAAGGACCGTGCAGCAGAGATGGATAGGTAAATTTTTGTTGCATGTTGTCATTCCTGCGATTCTGGGAAGCGACGTGCAAAAATAAGATACAAAAATACTTACTTATTTATCTAACAATAAAAAGTCGTCCACTGGCACTTCTCCTCGCGTCTCGTTTTCTCTTTTCGGGAAAACCCGGTGAATTGGAGCTGAGCATCTTAGACAAGGGCAGATATAAGAAAAACCCCGCCCACGTGCCCGTGACAGGCGGTGCCACAGTTTTTCCCTTTGACTTAAAACTGAACGACTTCAGTACAACCAGACTAACATTTCCGTGTCATAACGAGTGATTTCAAGAAGGTGTCAGGTTCTCACTTCTCGGCATATGGACTCGATTAGGCTACTGTAACAAACCGCAAATGATGACATAATGCAAAGTTTTTTCACAAATGCCCACTGGGTGGCAGTGTTCTAGTCACCGTTACAGGCAACTCATTGCCTAATAGCATCATTCTACATGTCTTTTCTGTTGTGGGGGGAAACTAGAGCCGGTATGGGGTTCGAACCCTGAACACTGGAAAAAGTAATAAAACGTTTCCCAAACTTCCCTGAGCTAAAAGATCACCAGAAGCAAATGACACAAGGCTAATCTTGCCCCAAAATACATAGGTTGGCACTTTTAATACGTTATGTTCAGACAGTAAAATGTAACATACAGACAAGTGTAGCTGGACACACATTTTAAAATGCCTACCTATCTGAAGCCTAGTTCATGCTTCACTTTTCTGTGTGCTGTTATGGTCCGTGCGCAGACTCTTGTGTACCTTCTGCATTACATCTGTCCGTGGATGCAGACGGTTGGGCTTGGCGCACATATACAGCAAAGATATTCCCCCTGACCAGCAGAGGGCAGTAGGGATGGGTGATACCACTGATTTTCTTTTTGATCCAATTCGATCCAGTACAAAGATCCTGATATTCAGTGTCAGCCCAACCCTGACAAAAATAATTGGCAAGTGGGGGGTCCCAGCAAATCGATCGTTTTGTTTTCATACTCAGTAGTGTCTGTGTCCCTGGAAGTCTTCCCCTTTCTCCCCCCTCGTGGGGGCCCCTGCCTGGAAGTACTTCATGGCTCGAGGGGTGTAATACGATGCAGGTTTACTGGCTTGACAAGGTTTCTTGAGGCTGACTTCCCCGGTTCACATACAGTAGCTCAGTTATAAATGGGATCCAGGCTGGTGTGAGTGCAGGCTTTCAGCTTAAACTCAGCGTACAATGTTCCTGCGCAGTATGGAAAACTGTGGAATTTGATTTTGGCGTTTTCCAAACGTGGATAAGTATGGAAATAGGTAAGACAGTATTATTTTGGCATTTCCAGACTATTTTGACAAATTGGTGTACTATGTATTCTAAAAAAAAATCTGAATTAAGTTATTAATAGAATAGCATATTTTTACTGCAGTTGTACAGGTTTAACAGAACTCTTGATGTTTTTGATGAAATCATCAATGTAAGTTGATCCTCAGTGCACAGAGAGCACTTTGAAGAGCAGCGTCCCAAACCAAGGAATGGGGGAGTGCCTGTGGGGGACACGGTTGATTAATTTCCACCAAAATATATCGATGTAGGCAACCTGGCTGCCACATCCCAACCACGCTCACATTGGAGAAATGCAAGTGTTCACCTGCCTGGTTTGGCAGTCCTGAATTTTGTAACTTGCTGGCTAAAGATCCCAGATGTGAGTGGAAAGCAAAATGAAAAGTATTAATGAAGCCGTTCGACATTTCGAAAGTGGGCGAGTCGTTAGCCACATAGCAGGGCAGAAGCATTGCCGTCTAGTGGCAAGGTCAAGATAGCTAATTGATCAGGGCAGCATTTTCTGAGCGGGCTTCACCAAAAACTTACGTATAAGCTAACTAAAGCTATTCGGGAAGGGCGATACTCTGAATTTCTTTGCAATCCGACACAAATGAAATTAAATGTTTTTATGGTGCTGGCCCCTTGACGGCCCCTTAACGGTCCCTTGATGGCCCCTGGCCAGCAGCAGAATAAATTTGCCATTGGAGGCGGTGACATGGGTGTCTGACGATTAAGTTTGTTGGATGTTGGAGTTAATCAGGGGACTGGCACCTTTTTCCACTGTTCCTTCTTTAAATCCTTTTTAGATTTGCACATTCAAAATGTGGGTACAGCATATGAAATGAAGTGTAAGAGTTTGTGTGTAATTTGGCTGGCCACATCAGGGCAATTCCAGCATTATGGCAGTGACATTTACACTCATATTGGTTAACAAAATGCCTCAGCATGGACAAGCTGAGCATTAAGTCAGTTTCCATATTTGACATGTAATCCCTTGGGTTGAGTACAGACAAATTGTCAGTGTGTGACGTCCTATGGAAACCCCTGAGCATTTGATGTGCCCTGTAACTGTGGTGAAGCCAGTTGAGTTGCTGGGTTTAACACCCACACCAGGTGCCAGTGGGTAAACACACATACAACATGATGTAATAGATACAATTGTTATGGTTTTCACTTTCTCTCACTTATCTGAAAAGTCAGTGACAGCCCTCCCCTTCCTTCTTCCATTGTCCCCCTCATTTTTCCATTTCCCTACCCATGAAAATAATCTGCAATTGCCACCAAACCAAATACCTTCTACGAATGCTGTGCAATCTGTCTGTATTTTAATCGCTTTCTTGCACATCATGTATTTTTTATGAAATTTAAGAATTTTACATCTTTCTTTGTACCTTTTATAACACTCGTTCCTTAATACACATAGTTGTAATTAATTACATTCCAAAAATATGAAAGAGCATTTATTTTTTTCATAAGGAAACAACAACTCTTGCATATAAGAACAGTCCCAGGGTACTAGTGGTGGACAAAATGACGCTTCATGAACCGTTTGCTGTTTTTTTGACTTAGATAGTGGTCTTGGTTTGCTTTAGGGCAGGGGTGTCAAACTCCAGCCCTGGGGGGGGGCGGTACCCTGTGTAGCTTAGCTCTTTCCCTGTTCCACCACAAATGATTCAGCTCAGGGGCTGTTTGGTAATTCACACAAGGAGTTGAATCAGGTGTGTTAAATGAGGGGAAACCCAAAAATGTGCAGGGCTCCGCCCCCCAGGACTGCAGTTTGACACTCTTGCTTTAGGGCATGCTTTGTGTCCTTTTTTTGGGGTCAGAAAATATAACAAATGGTTCATGAAGTATCACTTTGTCCATCAATACAAAGCTCTATATTTTATAACTGTATACATCTTGTACATTTATAACATAGAAGTGCTGATCAAGTGTGAAACTCCATAATTTTCCAAGTAATATCTTTTCATTTCGCACTTTCTGCACTGAATTTTCTTTGGTTACCATAACGCAAGCTGGTTCGGTCTCTGTCCTCCTAAATACCACTGGCTACCTGGATTAATGGTACACCTGAAACTTTTCAATCTTTAGAAACTTTTACTTTTAGCATGCTTGACGTACCTGGCAAATAAAGAACTTCTGAGTCTGATCTTGCAGTTGTCTTGCAAGCTCAAACATCCTATGACCTTTTTTGAAGAGCCCACCCAGCCTTATTCTACCCTGAAGTGGCACCAGAACCCTCCCCATAACTGACCCAAATAAGCCGCTAGAAGAGGCCCACTGGTAACTAATGGTAACTGAACAAAAATACAAATTTGGATTTGCTCTTATTTAGTTTCCAAAAAAAATAATTCAGGATTTTTTTAGGTAGATGCACAGATGGTGTGTTTTTCAAATTTGAATAAAAATGTAAGTTAATTTTTTGGAGAAAAAAAAAAGTATTGATAATCCATCTACTGCAGTGATGTGGCATATCAACATGTTGATTAAGCAGCATCATCACTGCAGAGGTGTTCCTGATTATGAGGTTAGTGAAAGGGCAGTCTATAATGTAGTTTGTGTTGGGCGACACAATGCCTCAAGTTTTGTGGGACTGTGTCACTGGCATGCTCTGTTGCCGGAGTCATGATTGTCCACCTCTCTAAGAAAAGCTGCCTCCAACACCACTGTAGAGCTTTGGACTGGACCTCCAAGTGGCTTCACCCACTGAGCAACTTTGGCTCTGGATCAGTGCATCCGGTAGTGTGTTCCAGCTCCCACCAATATCAGATGACTTCCGCAAGGTCAGCTCTGATATGTGTAGAGCTGCTACACACCGGATACAAATGTGGGAATTCCTTCCCACCCTCACCTTGTCTGTTGGTGTGTATCGATTTTGGTGGTCAGATTTCTGTATATTAATTTCTTTTTTTTTTAAAAAAACTAAAAAAACTCCTTGCAATAGTTGTTGCATGTGTATGTGATTGTTCACTATGAATTCAATCTTAAAAACTCAATGTCATCATTACAAGTTAAATAATTAAACTGAAGGTTCGTCATTCACTGGACTCATATGACAGCATTGTTTTTGTGCTTTTACTCTTTCTTGGAAGTGACCTTTGCAGGGTTTCCGGTTGTCACACATCTGGCGTGACTCATACTTTCAGACTCTCATGCAAGAAATATAACAGCAAATCTATATTATTCTGTATTAGCTACATCAAAAGCATTGGGGTAGTTTGCAAATGCTACAGACTATTTACAAGGGAGTACAACTGTTACATAGATGTAAATGTGTGTGTAGGCTTGTTTCGCTTTGGAAATCTCACGCCAGCCAGATGACCAACTTGGCAACCCTGTGTTTGACACAGTGGTTTAGGTTGCTGCGAATGTGACTGGAAGGTGCTGATTCAAGTCCTGTGGTCAGTGTAGCGGTTTCCCTTCTGAGCAAGGCCCTTAATTATGTAAGGCCAAGGGCCTCACAGGATTCTGCAATCCTGGAACCTCATTTATCAAAATGGGGGCACTTTCACACAGTAACAGATACCATCATTTTTGGTTCAGTACTCTCCTTTTTCCATTGACTTCCAGACAATTACCAGTGTAGACTCCGCAACATTCTCCATATTTTTTGTTGTTCCAACCTACTGTGCTTTCGCTCGATTAACAAAAAAAACTTTTATACAGCCGAATCCAATCACAAATGATTTAATCTCCGCCAAAAAACCAAGTGACAGACTGTACCAAAGGTTGTGATTGATATTTTAGGGCCTGCTTTGATCTTGTGTGTGTGTCCTGGAGAACTGCTGATCTTGTCAGCGTGTGAGCACAATTTACTTACGCTCTTAAAGAGATACTACTGAATTTGCCAGACCAACTGGGGTACTTTTTTGGTACTTCAATCGGTACTTTGGGATGGGACTTTAAAACACTTTCTCTGTCGATTGGCTGAAAAAAAATCATAGACACCAAGGTAATTTTAATTTCATTTTTTAAAATTAGAGTATGTTTTAATATGCCTACTTTTTTTCTTTTCAGTTTTGTTTCTGTTTAATTTTATAGGTTTTTGACACTTTTTATTTCACTTTGTGTTTTTACTGAGCTTCATAATTTTAGTTTTAATTTTGGTTTTCAGAAAGAAGCCCTCAGTAACACCAACCGAGAGGGAGTCTTTTAAACTCAGAATTATAAGTGAAAATAGACACCACAGATATTTGTTACTACTTACTCGTTTCTACTCATTTTTTTTCCCCATTTAGTTGTGTATTCTGTAAATGTGCAATACCTGTAAATACCTGTAAATGTGCAATACCTGAACGAGCCTGAGATCCTGCCCAGCTGCCACCCCCAAATAACCACAAGTGGTCAAACAAATGAACTGCTTGCTGGTATATTGCGCAATTGAATACTTACTGGTTGCAAAGGCTGATGATAGTGACTGTAAATTTTTTTTTAAAAAGAAGGATGTGAGGTAGAAGCACAACAGAGTGATCTATCTGGGGACTTAATAATAATGCTGGTTACACCTTAGTACAATAATTTACCTTGATCATTTAATGTCCCATTTCCACTGATGCCCTCAGATTACGGGTTGTCAGCTGGCTGCTTCGGTACTGAGCTGTCGGCTGTCTGCTTCTGATCTGGGCTCATACCCGGGCTCTCAGCAGATGATTAGTGCAAGTGGTTATGAAAAGTGACTTAGTGTTTGTGCCATGGATAAAATGAGATAGCAGCTTGTGATGAGGGAATGTAAACAAACATTCAATAGCAGGTACCGGTGAGTAAATAAAAAGCAGACAAGTAATATTGTACTGAATTGTATTGAATTAGAACCTAATGACATAAATGCTGAAAAAGGTGAAAAAGATCACCTACAGAACGGGGGAGAGTTATACAGTACGCTCTTATTGCCACAGGTAGAAAGGATTTCCTGTGGTGTTTGGTTCTGCATTTGCAGGCTACGAGTCTTTTGCTGTGTGTGCTCTGGTGACCCATCATGGAGGCGTGCATGGGGTGAGAGGGGTTGTCCATGATACTGAGAAGCTTTCTCAGCATTCTCCTCTCAGACACCTCCGCCAGGTTCTCCAGTCTGACACACAGGGCAGAATGATAGCACCCGTAAACTACACAAAACATGGGCATTTTTTCAGACGGCAGATTCTCACTACTATTCCACTTCCTGCCATCCATCTAAATTTCGCGCCTTGGCGACGTAGCAAGAAGACGTCACGTGAAAGCGACCTATTGCCGATCCTGGCTGTCACGTGACTTAGCGGCGCCAGGCAACCGAACAGGCTGGCGCGCGCGTGCACACACACACACTACAATATTTATAATAAAGTATTATAATAGTGGGTCGCTGAGCTATCATCGCAATAATTAAATAGCAGAGATAGTTGAGGGGTTTAATCACCAGATTGCGCTTATTACACCCGTACTACTACAACCCACACACTCGCACTGCCCACCGTGCTCGTCGCCCCGTTTACTCCTCATACACATGCGCACGCACACATACACACACACTACGTACAACAATAAACATTAACCACTATACATGAGATAAGACACAGCACGTTTATAATCACATAAACGATTACTGAGAAGTTATAACTATTTAGAAGCTGGCATTAGTCCAACATGCCGCGCTGCCCGCCGGTACCTCCGCGCTACAGAATTTATTTACTCATAAACCTTGCCCATATTCTGTCCTAGGTTTTAACTAATTAATAAAAAAAAATCACAAAAACACTTAAAGGTAATGAAAATTAATTCAGCTTTAGCAAGTTGATGATGCATCCACCCAGCCCCGGCGCCAGCGGAAAACAAGTTGGGGGTAATTGAAATCAGAGAGGGGGCGGCGATTTAACTACCAAAATATGCACACTGTACGATTGTTAGTTCTACATGACAATAACTGTTTGATCGCACACACAAACACGCTACTGTTTAACAAACCCTAAACGTACGTTCCAAACACCATAGCACAGCAGCGATGTTTAACATTAAACATAAAGCAAGTGGGCGCATATATCTCGATCAAGCCAACACACCAAAACATTAAAAAATTAAACCATACCTCAATAGCGTTTTTCGAAACTGTACTATAAGCCCAGACAAGCTCTTCATTCTGTCTCAAAGTGTAATCAAAGACAGAAAAAGTCCACTTCCCGCTTGATCTCGGTTATCAACCGAATCGATGGATCCCCTCAATGGCAATTCGTTTGAGGCAAGGAATTCAATAATGTCTACAATGGCAGAGACATACAGGCGGTTTCGAGAGAGCTGATCGGAATTAACCAGAGTTGAAATCTCACTGCCTGTAGGACATGGCAACTGTCTCTCTTTACAAGAAGTCACGCATGTTTGACGTTCTTTACTATTGGCATATCTGTTAATCCCTTTTGCCGTGTCCTTAGCATATATTTCCAGTTGCATGTATGTAAAACGTAGACCTTATTTTTTAGATAACTATAGTGGTCTAACTTATATATTAGTCTTTTAAAATGAATATATATATATTTAAAAAAAAAAAAAAAGTTCAGTTAGGGCTTATTTTAACAGAGGGGGCGGTATTATCCCTCTGAGGGGGCGATGCCCCCTTACGACCCCCGTGGCGCCGGGCCTGCATCCACTGGTACCTTATTTACTAAAAAATATCAGTATCGTATAGGCGATACTTTCCCCTGTATTTACTTGGTATAGCACATCACTACCTCCTGTGGTTCCCGGGCAAGATGTAAGACTGCAGCTACGCCTCTCTAGCACGATGGTTGGCAGATGGAGCCGCGCGACGTCATCGGAAGATATGATTTGCTACCAGACAATTAAGGATCGTCCCCTGTTAACAAAACGAGCGCACAGCGCACGCACCATGAGTGCAGGTGCGGTCAGTGCATGTAACATCTTATACAGCTATTACTCAGATTTATTTTGCTCATAGGTGCCAGCACACGGGCCATGGCGACCGAGGAGAAGAACCGTTGGCGGGCAAAGGGCCTCCCGTGCATTGCACCGCTAGTGAGCTCGGTGAATGAGACGACGGTGCCAATCACTACAGAGATCCACGGACACGTTCCTGCCTGGCTCAGTGGCAGTCTCTATCGGAACGGCCCTGGAAAATTCGAGTTTGGGACACAGACGTGAGTCTGGGGGGGAGGAGGGCAGTCTCACCGACCTGCACTGAAATATTAGCTGAGTCTCCGGCTGGCCAAAACTGCTGGCCTGCAGGCACTCATTCATTTTCATTAATCATTCTTTAATTCGTTATTAAATGCATGGCTGCCTTTGTGGTGTGCATCAAAACGTTTAATGCACAGCTTGTAGTACACTTACCAGCTTTTACTGCATATTGCATACTGCTTTCATATCCCTCAAACAGGCTGGCACTATGTGTGTGGTTATAGAAAATAAAAAAAAAAACCTTCAGATTCAAGGATTCGGCAATGCTGCGGTATAAACGTTTTTTTTTACTCACTTTGCAGCTCTGTGTTTAAAAATATATAATGCACAGCTTATCGTGCATTAACACTTATCTCATGTCCGCAGTGTCAGCTCTGGTATCAGATTATATGATGTGAGGCTGCAGTCATCTTTCTTAAAATCTTAAGCACTGTGTTGCAGGTGGATCATAGACGGCACCAGAAACTATAATCACCCAGTATATCTAAAACTAAATATGTTTAAAACTCAGAAAATTTCCCCTACTGCAGTGGTTCTCAACCTTTTTTGCCCCATAACCCAATATACCATGCCAGCTCAGTCGCGACCCTGTGTCAAGTATAGGGGTCTGTTTCACAAAGCAGGATTTCTTGCTCAGCCAGATAACTTGCCAGATTTAAGGTAGTCTGGGCTAAAAAGACCTTGTTTTCATCAACTTACATTTAGCCCAGACTACCTTAAATCTGGCAAGTTATCTGGATAAGCAAGTAATCCTGCTTTGTGAAACAGGCCCTAGGTCTAAATTAACGCTATGATCAAGTGCGCAGTGCACTCTGCAGTTTACACCAATCAATGCCTATCGCACAAAACTGATTGGATGTACCAGTGACTTTTAAGCATCTGTGGTTTGGCTCCTTGGATTGGTTGAAAGTTCACCAGTTTTGTACTAAGCAGTTCTAAACCCAAGGCGCAAATATATAGGTTAATTCTAGGATTGGGGCTGGGAAATCTGATCATGGGTCAGCATAGGCTTACAACCCTTTCAGAACTTGGAGTGACCCATGGGCTGAGAATTACTGCCCTAGTGCCACAAACTAAAGCACTGATGATTATCATCGAGTCTGTCACTCAACGTGCCTCTGTAAGTTTTACCTGTAAGTAGGCAAGCCAAAGGCAAAGTGCACCAGATATATTATAATCCTTTCTGCTCCCCAGTTATAACCACTGGTTCGATGGCATGGCCCTGCTTCACAAGTTCAAGATCAAGGGCAATCAGGTGACCTATAAGAGCCACTTCCTGCGTAGCGACAGCTACAAGGCCAACAGCGAGCACAACCGGATCACAGCGTCAGAGTTCGGCACGCTGGCCATGCCTGACCCCTGCAAGAACTTTTTCCAGCGCTTCCTGACGCGCTTTGTCATGCCGAGTGAGTTGGCAAACCGCAAGAAAGGCACCCGATCGCAGGTGGGACAAAATGAGTCTCCCCGAGTGTGTCATCAGGTCAGCTTAGCTTGGCAAGAAGTCATCATTCATTTAATCCAACATAATTCATATACACAGATGTGAGTCAACGTACAAGATATCCTGTAAGGCACAGTGTTTTTCAACCCAGTTATCGGAGACCCCCAGACAGTCCACGTTTTTGCTCCCTCCCAGTTCCCAGTAGGGAGCAAAAATGTAGACGGTCTGGCTGGGAGGGAGCAAAAATGTGTACTGTCTGGGGGTCCTTGAGGAGCAGGTTAAGAATCACTGGCTTACACAACCCGATAACAATTCTTCAGTAATGGCTGATAGCAGTCGGGGGAGGGGGGTAATTCAACATAAGCAAAACTCGCATAAGCAAAACGAATCCAAGTAAATGCTAATTCTTAATTTTTCATGCCCTGCAGAGCCCACTGACAATGCCAGTGTGCACTTTGTCAAGTACAAGGGTGATTACTACGTTAGCACTGAGACCAACTTAATGCACCGGGTGGACCTCGAGACCTTGATGTCAAAGGAGAAGGTACTCACTGTGTTGTGGTGGGTGTGGCTCATCCTATCCTGCTTCTGTTCTGTAAGGCTTAAGAGCAGTGAACATGGAAGCGGTCCGTGATCAGTATTCCACTAGGCTGCAGAACAGAGTTTTGCAGTGGTTGGTTATTTTCCAGAAAGTAACAATATATCTTCTTTTCTTCTTTTACAGCTCCTCACGTTTGCTTTTGTTTGCATCTAAAAAACAGTTAAACTTGTGAAATCGCTGATCAACCGCCCGTCTCCCCCACACAGTCTTATCTGCCTGTGACATTTTTTTTGTAGTGGTGTGGTTGTTGGAGGTGTGAGGCCAGAGTTCTGAGACCTGGGTCTGAATCTCTGCCACGGCTCCATGTGTGTGGAGTTTGCATGCTCTCCCCCGTGCCATCATGGGGTTTCCTCCCACAGTCCAAAAACATGCTGAGGTTAATTGGAGTTTCCAAATTGCCCATAGGTGTGTGGGTGTGAGTGAATGGTGTGTGAGTGTGAGTGCGCCCTGCGATGGGTTGGTGCCCCATCCTGGGTTATTCCCTGCCTTGTGCCTGTAGCCTCTGGGATAGGATCCGGTCCCCCTGTGACCCTGAATAGGATAAGCGATTATAGAAAATGGATGCATTGCATGCATGCATGCATGAACCAGTTTGTAGACATAAATTACTCCTAACTACTGTAAATTACTCCTAATTGGATTTTAGAGGGAAGCTGAAATTGCATGGTGTCCCAGTCAGATGTTAATCTGTATCAAATCAGGATAATGTTTCTGTTTGCCTCCCACTTACAGGTAGACTGGAGTAAGTTCATCGCAGTAAATGGCGCCACAGCCCATCCTCACTATGACCCCGATGGCACTGCGTACAACATGGGCAACTCCTACACCAAAAAAGGTTAACTTCCTGTTTTGCTATCACTTTTCAGTCTGGGCCATGTAGCCCTTAGCACTTATGGTTAGGAATTCTAAAAGCAGAAGTTATTTGTGGTTCTGCGTTGGAACAATAGCCCTGTTATTTCTAGCAGTGAAGTCATTATTGGTTTTCTCTGCAGAATTTCAACCTTTTGATTTTTCAGAAAAGGCCCCCTGTAATCTTGACGGAATTGATGGGTCATTTTAGTGTCCACGCCTACAGCAGCAGGCAGGTGGAATGCCAGGCAGCGTATTCTGACCCTCCTGTCTCCTCCCCCCATGTGGTCACAACTGATGCTCGTTGCTTGTATAGAAGTTCCCTCTTGTTCCGTCTTCGTCTGTCCAATCATTGACGTCGTTCCTCCCGTTGCCTGTGCCCTGCCTTTCGCTAACCTTCTCGTTTTAACCTCCCCTGGTCCCGTTTTGTTTCTCTGTTCCTTTTTCCAAAGACCCCCTTTTGTTTGCCGTGCACCTGCTGCCGAGTTGCTCCTTTCCGGAACGTGACAAAGGTTTATTACCAAGAAAACTGAAACTATCGGAAGACATTGTTGTAAACTGAAATAAGAAAAAAAGATATACAAATTTGTATCTTTCTTTCTTGATGGAAATCATTTGAGGAAACATAATCCAGTTATGACCCTTAGATGGTACAATACTTTGGGCCCATTTTGTGGAATACTATAGAAATAGCAAACTACATCGCGACATTTGACAGACATTAATTACTTACTTTATTAATCCAGAAGGACGCATTTTAGTACATTTAGCAGAAGTTATTCTCTCTCTGTGGTGGAGTCTGGTGTTAATTCACTGCAAGTCAGGCTACCATCTAACTGCACCACATGTAGAATTTAATGTTGTTTTCAAACTGTGCTTGGGCCTGGTTTCAGGTGCCTTTTACAACATCATCCGTGTGCCTCCTGAGAAAACGGGACCGGAGGACTCCCTGCAGGAAGCCAAAGTAGTGTGCTCCATCCCTTCAGCAAACAAGAACAAGCCCTCTTATTACCATAGCTTTGGTGAGCTTTCATTAAATTAAGCCAATGAATTTGGGGGAAAGTAAGTTTCTCGTATGACAGACACTAGCAGCAAATGGGCACCGTGCAATTTATTACATTTATGTACAAGCTGATTGATATAATTAATAAGGTAGCATTCAGCAATGTTATGACTTTTCCTTGACAATAATGTCTCAAATGCAAAATGTCACAGTTTATTGTTGAAAAAAATAGGCTTTGCAAGACAACTATTACTATGCAAAAGCCAAAGGAAATGATGTTTAAATGATCTTCATGTTGGTGGGAAAACTATGATGTCTGTCAAAGTGTGTTAGCTTAAGCATTTCAAAAACTCCTAAATTTCCTAAGGGCACCCCAGTGATAAATATACACTTGTTACCCAGATAAATGACTTTAAACATTTCCTTTGACTGCTTAAGTCTTTTGCACAGTATTGTAAATTGTATGAAGGAGCTCCTTCTCCTGGGGTGATTTTAATTTGAAGTGTTCTTTCATGTAAGTCATACAGTTGTGCTGGGCCCATTTATAGTTTATCTAATACTGTCCCAGCCCACCCACTCCAAGTGACCTTTACTGATTAAGTCTGTGAGCAGTCCTCTTTTTACATTTCTGTTGAACATGATACGAGGCAATAAAAAAATAAAAACATGTAACATTAGTAGGGGTGTAACGATATTACAAACCGAACCGAAATATCGCGATACACGAACCACGATACGTATCGCGAAACTCTCGTGGCGTACCGCGGTACTCTCACGCCCCCTGCTGCCCATTGTTGAGGTTGACGTCACTTGTCTCTAACTAATTTAACCAATTTAAACACATCTTTATTTTATCACATTTGATTAAATTGTATTAGTAATGATGAGCGTTTGTTCTAAATTTTGTTCTAAATATTATATTCTAAAGTTAGTATTAGAATTGTTTTTTTCTGACTAGTCTATATTGGAGGTATTTATTTAATTTTTGTTGTTTACTCAGGTATCCTGACTGTACTAAAAATGTGATGGCAAAGTTAATAAAGAAAAAGTTTAGTTGTTCTTGTTATTAAGTGAATCTATTGTTTCTTAGCATTGCTGTTAAGATGACATCAACCCAAACCCACAGCAAACAGAAACCGAACGGAACCGAACGGAACCGAGGCTCCAAAACCGTGAACCGAACCGAATCGTGCCTTTGGTGTATCGTTACACCCCTAAACATTAGTCGAACAGTAAGTCTAAATGCCAAGGGCACGGTATGCACAGTGCATGCAGGCACAGCCCTTACTGACGCTGTGTCGGTGCATTCATGAGTTCAGCAGTCGTAGGACAATGACCTGGCCTGTGTCCTTGCAGCAATGTCCGAGAACTATGTGGTGTTCATTGAACAGCCCTTAAAGCTGGACCTCCTTCAGATTCTGACGGGAAAGCTGCGGGGGAGGGCACTGAATACGTGCATCTACTGGGACCCCCATCAGGAAACGGTCTTGCATGTTGTCAACAAACATACAGGCAAGGTGGGGTTTTTACGCACCATGTTGAGTCTTGCCTTCATGTACTGTCAAGGGTCATTGGCCAGCTGACCCTATCTGTAGGTAAAAATTGAAAATTGGCCCGGGTTATATTTAATTAGTCACAATTGTTTTATTTTGAGACCAAATAAAAAATGAAAATGCCCTGCAAAACTATATTTTTCAGGCTTTATTTTGGTACCTAGTTTAATAGGTTTATTGTAGGCTTCTATGAGAAAATCGAGGGTGTAATTCACCGATATTTTAGCTGAAGAATGTTGAAGAATCATTTAATTTCAATGGATAATTTTGGTGCAGTTTCTGAAAAAGATAAGGGCAAGGCATAGGTTGACAAAAAATGAATGCAATTATTCTTTATGAAATGAGAACATTTATATTGCAATTGCATAAAAGTTGCCTATGTTAAAAACCACCAGCATGAAGTACTTTGGAAAGATTCTGTAGCTCTGGCTAAACTAAGAATGGCTGCTTAGTCTATGTCCCAGCACAATGCTGCTCCTTCCACATGTAACCCTGCTGTCCTTTTGGTATTTCGCCCAGGCTCTAGTGTGAATGCAGACTTTGTGCTCTCTTCCGCAGCCAAGTGCAGTGAAGTACCAGGCCAGGCCGCTGTCTTTCTTTCACCAGATCAACGCCTTTGAGGAGGATGGCTTCCTAATGGTGGACCTCTGCTGTTTGGACGATGGCAGAGTGATGAACAACTTCCTGATCCAGAATTTGCGCAAATCCGGGGAAGCCTTAGACGAGGTTGGCACGAACACACACACACACACACAATGCAGATGCTCATGGAAAGACAGAGAAGGTTCTTATACCTGACACACATACACAAGCAGACTTGGGTTCCTGCATTTCCTAACTAGTTTTGTCTGCCATCTTATCTGTATTGTCATTCCTAGAATCCAAAAACTCCATATTAGACAATGCTGCTGACTTCCGTTCACAGGTGTACAACGAGATGTGCTTTGCCTTTCCACGGCGGTTTGTCCTGCCTCTCCATGTAGATGAGAACACGCCCTATGGCCAAAATTTAAACACTCGTCACTGCAGCCTAGCCACAGCTATGAAGATGTCAAAAGATGTGGTAAGTTGGGGCTTGTTCACCCACAATACATCTTGGGACCTTCAGTGATCCTTCAACATGGAATACAGTGGCCACATGGTAAAAGATCAGAAGAATCCCGTGAATCAAGACTAATCTAGTGGTACTTTGACTGGTCACAGAGGACCTGAGTGTATGCTAGCTTGTTGCAATGAGCTTTTTAATGAAGTGTTGTTTGGACTCTTATGACATTATAACCTAGAAGACACTTATCCTTTAGGAAGAGCATAGGACACATTTTTGTTTGTTTGTTTGTGGCCAGGAAACAATTGTGATACTTCCCAGTTTGCTTGGTATAAACCTACCAGTCAGATAATTATTGAAGGCCATTTAACTAGCGGAAAACTCGAGCAATTTGAGGATAATTTTGTACTCGGCCAGCCTGTACGGAAGGCTCTGAGAAACACTGTGGGGACACGCCTCCGGAATACAGGATTGCGCCATAATATATGCTCCCCCCCGCCCCCCCCCCGTTTCCTCATGGATTGCAAACACGCAGCACCCTATCTCATGTGTCCCCTTACTAATGTCCTGTGCTTTTAGGTATAGGCTCCATTGTGACTTTGCATTGGATGAGCTGTTATGGGAAAATTGATCAAATTTTGAACTGTATACTTATCTTTTGAAAACAACATTTCTTACTACTTAAAACATACCTCCAAAGGATGAGAGATACCAGAATAAATTATGCCTAGTATTGAATGTATTTGTCATTGCTAGTCACCAAACATCTAGAGGCGTACGAGTTTGAGAACTGTTGCGTGAAACAGCATTACTTTGGACTGCTCAGTAACCCTCTTGCTCGACAGGTGTTCTGTACCCATGAGGATCTCCATGGTGATGACCTCCGGGAGTACGGTGGTCTGGAGTTCCCCCAGATCAACTATGCCAGATATAATACGCGTCCATACCGCTACTTTTACGCCTGTGGTTTCAGACACCTGGTGGGGGATTCCCTTATCAAAATGGACCTGCAAGGAAAAAAGTTCAAGGTTAGAGCAGTTCAGGTGTTACGTGGCAGTTCACAAGGGGGTCGTCCCCTGCCTGTGATTAAGTGTTACGTGCATTTGATTTTCCATTTTAAAGTAAACGTTGCTTTTATGCAGCTCATTATACCGCAGTTGGGAGTGTGTCTGCAATTATGGCCGTAATGATGTCAGTGAATGGAGATAGCAATATGACACTATAGCTTGCTGATAGGGTCCTATGTGGACAGCTGTGATACTATGCCTCCGCTGACATTGTCCCCGGACGGTACCAGGTGTGGTACCAGCCAGATTTCTACCCCTCAGAACCCATCTTTGTACCATCACCTGGGGCTGTCGACGAGGATGATGGTGTGATACTGTCTGTGGTCATCACTCCCATACAGGTAAGAGACCAGCTTTAACAGCCGATACTTCAGTCTCACAACGTTGTTTATTACGTGTTTAGCGCAGACATTTCAAAATGCCGTACTGGGAGCTTTTCGTGCTCTCATATGTGTGTTTGTATACAGATATTCGCAAGCATTCACTATGCAACATGTGTATATATAGTTCTTTTTGGCACCCTGTCTTAATTTTAGTTTTAGTCTAGTCTTTGTGTCAAGCTGTCATTTTAGTTATTATTAGTCTTAGTCACGTCCATACTCATTTTAGTCTAGTCAAGTTTCAGTCGACTAAAAGTCGACTTTTAGTCATATTTTAGTCAGAATTATCCACGACTATTTTAGTCTAGTTTTAGTCAATGAAAATTGTATTTTAGTCTCTTTATTTTAGTGATGCAATTCTATTTTACCTAGTCAATATAGTACAAGTACCTAGTAGAATAGACAAAAACAAAATTTTCTTTTAGTCAAACGCATTTCACAATTAAAACAAGGTTCTTTTTATTATATTATTGTTACCTTATAGATTCAAGAATACTCCACATCTAGCACAGGAATAGATACAATGTCAGGACAGATGCAGCATCTGGAAAATCTAACTGTTGTAAATATTAAGTAGCATAAATCCTTGCTATTAGGTCTATTTTGCCCTCAATGACTGAAACTATTGGTTGTAATTTGGCTGTTTATTTTCAGCTACAATTGTTTAACAGAAAAAATAGGCCTCACAAGACCATAAGGGATGCCAATCAAAATGCATCATGCTCTGAATCATTCACGAACATCCTTTCCACAAGAACATTATTTCACAATTAGCAGGTATTTACATGAGCTGTAGCCAGAGCGTATACTGTACCTCTATGTGGATGGTAACTAGCCTGGCAAGCCAGACCCACGCACAATGTTCCGAAAAACACTCTTTTAATGTTTCAAACACTACCCCTTTAGACATGTATCTAGTCACGCAGTAATGAAAGTTTAGATCGCCTCAAGACAACTGGGCTGTCGTTCTCAGTTTGCTGCTTAGCTTTAGCTTGCTAAGATGCCTACATAGCTTCAAAGTGTTACCTTTACCCACGTGTTCTTATCAAGCATCTTATCAGAAAGATGTTTTGTACACATCGCCAAGTGTCCATGCTTATGAAATATAATTTTCTCCAAAGCGCCTAAAGCTAGCAGGATAATATCTATTGCTAACGATAACATGTTAACCACAGTTGGCATGAGCTTTCTAAATAGAAAGTAACATTACATTAATGTCTTACCTCTTTGTCATTGTGGAATGCCTTGAGATGTCTTTTAAGGTTTGTGGTGTTTTTTCCCGATATTTTGTGGTTGCATTTCTCCACCATCTGTGCGCCCGAATGGGAGACACAGGAAACAGAAATACTGCATAATAATAACGCGATTAAACGAGAGGAAATATCGTCTCGTCTCGTTTCCGTCAACGAAAATGAAGACATTTTAGTATAGTTTTTATTTTGTAAGCCAAATTTAGTCTAGTTTTTATTCGTCAACAATATTACACAATATATTTCGTTATAGTTATCGTCACATGACCAGCATTTACGTTGCGTCTCGTCTCCGTCACGTCAAAAAGGTTCGTTGACGAAGATAATTCGTCAAAAATTTCGTTGATGAAAACAACACTACATGTATATAAACAACTAAATTCGGCATAATACCCAACTTGTCTCTTTCTTGTCATTGTTGACACCAGATCGACATGCATAATGTTCAACCGTTCATATGATGACTCCAGTTTACTGGTAAAATCCTGTAGTGCACCATGGAATTTCAGATCTGGTTGCAGACCTTCAACCGCCATTCCATATATCACATAAATGTTTAACCATAATGGCCAATAGTGATAATTGAGGTTTACTGTCCAATTAACTGAGCTCTTGGCCGCAGTGAAGACCCACAAACCACTGTGGCCCTTACATGCCATGATTAAACATAGCTCAGGTGTTGACTTACAAAGTCCATTAAGTGTTCGGTCCGGTTCCCAGGCCACCAGAGGGCTGCTTCTGGCTTTCTGATTATTCGCAAGATTAGCAGCATAGATATAACATTGACGTGCTGATCTCTCTCTTAACAGCTTGCGATGCGCCGTCTCACTGAACATTTTTCCCTGCTATTTATTTGCTCAACCCTATAGAAAAACCCTTAAACATCCAAATGATACCACAATGGAGACAGGAGTGATTCATCCCAGCCAACGGTGGTTATAATCACATTTTAATGTTTTTTTTTTTTCCCTTCTTTCTTTCTTACATTTTCTTACTGTTCCAGGGCAAGAATACATTCCTTCTAATCCTGGATGCCAGAACATTTGAGGAGCTGGGCCGGGCTGAGGTGCCGGTGCAGATTCCATATGGCTTCCACGGGGTGTACGAGTCCGAAGTGCTCATCCCCCAGGGTCAAGCCTGAAACGCTACACAGGAGACTGACTATGCAGTAAAGAAGCAGCCAATCCAAAGCTCTATAACAGGGTTCTTCAACTCTGGACCTCGATTCCAGATCCAGGCCGTGTTTTCAGTTCTCCCAGGTAGTTGTTTAATAATTACTGATTTTGATTGGTCAGAGGCTTCATACCTGACTGACAGGTAAAGGAAGGCTGGAAAACCAGCAGTGCTCGGACCTCGAGGACCATGAGTTGAATAACCCTGCTCTATAATGAATATATCACCTCTGTCATTAACACTAATTCTCAGATAATTATTACCAAATAATTATATTTATAATTAGTTTTTAACTAACTTTAACTTTGTATTTTAAAATCTGAAAGGGGACTTAGAACATGCAAGTGCTGTCCTGAAGATTTCGGTAACAATATCTTTTCTGAAAGCAGTTTTTTGGTTCTCGTAGGAAGTTACTGTGGATAGAGGTAAACTTTGATGCTTTTGCATTGACTCTACCACTATTATTAATATTAAAATAATGAATAAGACATTTTTATTTTTAAATGTATTTTATTATATAATAATAATTACTGTTACTGTCTATCATTGTCTAAATGTATTTTTACTGTCTAAATATATGTATTCAGCTAGTGTAAACATGCAGGATGCTATCACAGCGAATGCTGAAGACTGAAGCATTACCCTTTGTTTCCGCTGAGAGACATGCCGCGTGACTCATTTCCCAGCGCGTACAAGTTATCTTAGGTTGGTGTTCACGGTTCGACTTCTGAGATTCATATCGAGTTCTAGGTAAAAAATAAAAAATCCTAACTGGTTTGTTCGACTTTTAAGAAATTCGAATTCTAATGAGTTCGAGAACCGAGGTACCACTGTATTTCCATTTGGTACAGGAGTTGATTTTGTTTTGCTGGTTATGGCCATTTCTGTTGTGCTATATGCATAAGCTGTTTAGAAAGATGCCCTTATAATCCTGAGAATATTAAGTATGTTTCATGAAATGTAATGAAGCGGTCAGGGAAAACCGTAAATGACGCATTTCTGTACACCACCAACTCATACCGTCCGTGATTACTCGGTGCTGTTGACGCCTCTGGTGAGGATGTATGTAATTAACCTACCAGCAGGCGCAGAAGAATAACATCTGAAAATAAACTGCTAAAAACAGGGTGTTCTGTGTTTCTGATTTTATTAAATATGAGGAACAGCATGACATTGCAATTCAGAAGCGAATGTGGCGGTATTATAGTCGTGCCACTTAATGCTTTGCACTTTCCGCATTTGCCAGTAGATGTCACTAAGAAATTATTACTAGGTACTGTCCAGTTTATGGGCCTTAATCTTGTTGGAATTTCTCTAAAATGTAATGTTTTCTGACTTTTGTCTTTTTCTTTCTATGTTCATTCTCGTCGTCACGCGGTTTTCCTTCAGCTTCTCTAATCATGTCTTTTTATATGCATTGAGTCAATTCATACGACGTCCAATATAAGTCCAAATTAGGTTATCTTCACCTATAACCTAACGGATTCTTCTGATTATCTCCAGTCGTGCGTAAATGCGCAAAACTAAACATAAACAAACACGAATTGCGCGATCAGTGCTTTTGAGGTTAGGAGAATCATTAGGAAGACATAAGGAAATAAAACAAAGTAAGACAAAAAACCAGCAAAAAGTTATATTTTGTCTGACTCACGGACATGCCGTTTTTGCTACTTCGCGTACTCGCTCATGAAGCGTGACAAGCTACTGTTTATGATAGGATAATTATCATGTGAAAATCGTTTTTAAAAAACATTGCTGTTCGCTGTTTTTTCTTCATTAGGAATAATGTTTTCAGCTTAATAACAATGGACCTATTTATTTGGCAAACGTTCGTACTCAGGGCCAGTACATGCCCATGTGCCCAGTAACAACAACAACAATAATATCGTTAAAGAAAATGCCCAATAAAATGTCTTTCATACAAGAATAAAGACGTAGGACTGTAAGAAAATTTATTTAAATTAAAGATCTAGGGTTGTTAAGGTATTGGCGTTAATAATAAACATTATTTTTTGATCGCGAGAATAGTGTTAGCAATATTTTTTGTATAATTTAATTTCAATACTGAATGTACAGACTAATTAAGCTATTATTCCAAGTTCGGCTGCAACAGATCGACCTGCCTCCGAGATCGCAAGTACCGTAATCATATCACTTATGGCACTGAATTTTTTTTTTATGTAAAAAATAACAAAATATTGCCCCTTTACAATATTGCATAGGACAAACAGTTATACCAAATGGATGTGGATTGTTTGTCCCGTTTATTGTGACAGCGCTGTTTACCACAACTGAAACCACGCATTTGCGTGGGGCCCCTGTTGGCCACAAGCAGTCACTACAGTCACTAATAATAAATATTGAGTTAAAAGTTCTGCTAACCTGCAGTACTAGATCTTTAAAACTCGAATTACTTGAAAGCTAATGTTAATGTTATACGCAACCATAAAGCTATCATTTCCCCTGTGGCGACACAAAAAGAAAGGAAATAAAATGTAGGAAGTCTCTGACAGACGATTTACCTAAATTTGGGGGGGGGAGGGGTGGCTTTTTGACTGGGGCCGCAGAAACCTGTAATGCTGTGGCAATTAATGAAAAGACTTTATCTTTAACAACGCCAAGGGAACAACTGCCAAAGCAGTTCAAACAGATTACGTAATATAAACATTTTCTTAAGTATTCCAAAATGTAGTACTTCAAAATAAAATGTTTTTTAAGGGAAAAAAAACAGATGTTCTTCCGTGCTTTGCAATCCTCCTGACTTTTCTTTCGTTTTATGGCACACTTCCCTACTGGGAGAGTCTAACCCTAATTGTTCTAGTGCGCAAATCCGGGGCGAGGAGCTAATTAATACTGAGCCGGGAGGTGCAGAAATGTAAAAAGACATTTTAAACTGTAAAGGTTCTACTCTGACGTGGTGTTCATATAATACGTGTTTCTCTCAGTGTTGTTACACAGTCAGGCTCCTAAATACAACTTTAATCCTTAATTTTTCAGTCTCAGGATCGACATGGTTTCATTTGCATTTCACTAAACATGTTTTATTCCCTAGTTTTACTGGACACAAAGTCTGCCTCAGCTGATATGACTCATCTCGTGTTCAACACTGTCTTATGTTACACTGATTGTAAGCCATTTGTCACTTTATAGGTGGTTATAAAACCAAATATCTTCACCTAAGCATGCAGTCTGTATATCTCTGCAGGTGTATGCCAAAACTGGCCAATTCTCTAGCAAACCTATAAAACATAACATAAATATTTGATTTATTACAATGTTTAATGGACACTGCCTCCCAAACCCTTCAAGGTTCTCTATAAGACACTATTATATCACCATTTTGTGTCGATTGTCAAAGGGAGTCAAATATCAGCTTTCGAGGTCTTATTGAGAAGCTTTTCTTACTGAGTTTTCACCATCAATAGCGGCACCTCATAATAATGGACTTTCTCTCTCCTTGATTCCATCACCAGAAGCTAGATTCCAACTGAGACACAAAAACTATTTGATATCATGTCTCTGTTTTTGAATTGTGCATATCACACTGCTATACATCTCCAGAGCTTCCACCGGCCAGTATTAGGTAAAAATCATGCCACATAAACTGAACTTGCCATTCTATGCATAGTATATCTCCAAGTCCTCAACTTATGAGTTCAAGGACAGCTTGCACTCTTTTTAAACGTTGCATGGCAGACTGTCACTGATATGGAAGATGTCCTTATTTTGAAATATCTACCAAGTTGACGTGAAGTGACATGGGACGAAGCATCCACTATCTCACACTGAAGGCAGCACCCTGTACCACATCAACAACCAGCTGAAGCTTCTTAGTAATGTTAACAGGATAATTTCCATGGCAACCAAAGAAACCACACAAACGTGAACATGTTAAATGCCAGACACCCGTTTCACTTGGTACATTGTTTAATAGCAAATTTTTGTATAGTATTATACCTTTAATATCCAATCATGATCTTAAGATGTGCGCCTAGTCTACAGCATCATGCTAACAAAGAAAATGCGAAAAGTAAACAGACCGAGTTTCTGCAAATTTCTTCAGATCTGAAGACACAGCCTAGACTCCATTTTATCGCTCACACCAGCATATCCTGCAGGACGAGCTAAATACAGCTTCAGCAGCTTCATAATCAGGTATCTAATTAGAGGCTAATTAAGCCTGGCAGGAAGTTGTAATGAACGGCTTCTGGTTCATGCGTGTAGGAAGGGATGTACTTTACATGTACTTTGGGATTTCACACAGTCACATTTGCTTACCGCACATTTACCAGGCTCATGGATAATGGAAACAGCTAATTAAGGTGGTGGGGCCTCCAGCGTTTAAATGACTGGACTTACAAGCGGAGGGATCCTGCTCTTGCAACTTCAAGGTACTTGACTGCTGCAGAAATTATCCAGCAGTATAAATCATCCAAACGCGTCCAACCATCCGTCTTGCGGGCCTGAAGCTTTCCCCAAGCAGCCTAGGGAACAACTTAAACCACATTTTTTTCTGCTAATCGCTGAATTAGTGTTTATTCCACAGAGAGCCCCCCCCTCACCCACGACCCTACATAAGACTATAAAAAATGGTGGCCAGATATTCCGCAGTATAACAATGTCAGACTAATAATTCTGCGCAGGTAATCGGGTCAGTTATGAGGATGAAACCTCAACTCTAACTCGCGCCATGACAACTCAAAAGCAAGATGGATATCATCCACCTCATTGTCTCAGGATCAACATTGAGTTATTTGATCAACTGTACAGATATTTCTGTTTTAACATGTCCTATGCGTTTAACATTCGGATCTGTTTAGCAAATACTTTAAAGCAAACGTTGACTTAATGGGATCCTAAGTCAAGCATGAAGGCTTTATTAGGTGAACAGTGAATTATCAATACAAAATATACAATGTGGGAATCTTGCAGGGGGTCGGTGCTGACAATCACAGTTCAGTCAGACTGGAGGGAGGGTCAGGAGGTCAGCCTGAAGGGGGAGGCCGGGGTTAGTACGACCCACCCCGGCAGGAGATAGTGGATAGAGCCCACCCACAGGTCAAGGCTGTAGGCTGATGGTGTTTAGGGGTGGGATTCAGGAAATACAATGGCGAGAGAGAGGTGCAGATAGCGGTCTTCTTAAACAGCACCTTTGTTTGAGAATAAACCCATCTGATTGAACGTTGCTGAAAAGCAGCGGAAAATCCGCAGGCTGACATCACCGGCGGCACATCTTGCCAAGCAGCGGAGCTGTTGGGGTCTGCGCAGTTTCTCGCTTTCTTTTTTTGGGCGATGCAGACTTCCCTGCGTGCAGCGCGTGCATGAAACCTCCCTGCATCTCTGCCTCAGGGCTGAGGCACTGAGGCTCGTTCACAGCAGCCTGCAGCATTTACCTTAGTCTGCCATGTAAAATGCTGAGATAATCATGCGAAACTCAAAATTTGGCACAAATTGGCAAAGTCTCCTAAAAGATGCAGACTAATATAAAATATGGGCTGACATCTTTATTTCCCGAAGAGTGATATTTTATCAGTCAGTGTGATAAACATTTAATTTGCGGTAAGGGGCTTAATTAATTTAATTGACTATAAGTTCATCTTCTGGACAGGGGGTGTAGGTGGGGGTGGGGGTTGTCACAGCAGGGCGAGGGGGGAGGGATGGTTTTGGTGTGTGTGGGGGGCGCTAGGTAAAAATTACCAACCCAGGAAGGGGGGGGGGGGTTCTCTGGAAATTGTTATCAACTTAGCGTGATCGTCTCTTAACAAAAGGGGCACTTGGTAAAATTTGCCAGCCTGGGGGAAGGGTTAAGTCATGAATGTCTTTTTACTTTATAAGTTTACCATCGGCCCCCCAGTAAGGCATAACGATGTCCCTGGTCTTCTCTAACTGTACAAGCTTCTACTGTGATCAGAAATAGTGGTCGCGTGCTGATCACGAAATAACCCTGTCCCCTTCTCCTTCAAAAGTCCCCGAAAAGATCATAAAAATGTCTGGTATTTGTGGTTTTTCTACGCCACAGCTCACAAACTCAGAATAAAGTGGATAGTGTGAAACGCCGTAGTTGAACATCTGGTTTGTTTTAATGCAGAGAATGAGCGTGTTGAACCGGCTGCAAAGACTGTGACGAGTCCTGCTCCCCGAGCTAATGCACGACTAACCGAGAAAAGCGGAGTAACACGGAGACAAGGAGGGACAGTTTGACTGTCATCCCAGAATACAGCGGCTCACGGTTTACATCTGTCGCTCTTTAATATCTGACACCTCCAGCACTGAAAATACACGTAACAATCAGAGTATGTCTGCGACAAGGCTGAACTATTTTGAGGTATGCATGTGAATACGAGTTCTGTGAAGCATTTGCCCGAGAAAACTTATTCTGAGATCACTTTGCTGAATACACTACTATAATTTTTTTTATTATTAATTTTAAAACGTGTAGGGAGACATATCTAAACAAATTAGGCCTTTCAATGTCCAATGAAGACAGTGACGAAACCACAGTAAATAAGAATATATATATATAAACCACATATTATACATACCGTTACTTGTTCTCAAGTTCTTAAGTGTCAGTATAATGCACAGGAAAATCAAGCTTTAATTCAACAACTGCACAATAAAATTTTACACAGCAAAATATATTACTTACGTACCTTTTAAACGTAAAATGTAAAAAATAATTTACGTAAAATGTGGAGAATAAGTACATAAGGAAAGAAAAGTCAAACTGCCAATGCATCAGAAATCGATAACCCGTCAAAACACAGCGCAAGACGTCGCTGCTTTACGTCACTGACCCTGGCGCTTACATATCCATCACGGATTCCTTAAAGCCGCTAACTAGCAGGTTCCCACACGATGGTTAGCGGCATTACGGCTGATGGTTGCTACCAGTAAATTATGACAAATAGAATAAAACCGAAGTAAAACTGCCGGAGTTCCGCAAAAGTGCCTAATATACGGCGCGCTGCGGGATAAAGCGGCCAGTCGCTCTATGTGCGCAGCACTTGCAGCTGTCCGCCGCCCGGGGGCGCAGCTTCGGCGTCGCCGTCAGTATACACAAACATGGCGACAAGGCAGTCATTCAAGATGCGGGTCCCCTTGCTGAACGCCGTCAGTCTTTTATTTGTTGTCGTCCCGGGGTCCTTTTCCTCCAGTCTTTGGCTCCGCCGTGACCAGCGGTTCGCGTTGCCGCAGGAAAGGGGCTTTTTTTGGGTGAACGCCAACCGGGAGCATCACGGAACGGGCACCGAAAGTGGAGCCGCGCAGCCCGGAGACGGGGACGGATCCGCTTGGCGGACGCCCCAGCACCGCGCTCGACGGAGCGCTGCCGAGCCGCCCCTGCTCAAGGTGTACGGCGAGGTAAGACCTTGGATGTCAGCCGGGGAGCCGCGTCCGATAAGCGGCGGCGCCTGGCGAGTCGGTCGCTCGCGATTCACCGGCGCTGCAGCCTTTCAATAAGTAACTAAAAGCTTCGCTCCCCTCGTACCTTAATTAGTCAGCTACCGATGCGTAAATTAACAATTAGTAACGTGGAATGGCGACTTTATTTAGGGTTATTCGCTGAAATGCAAACTGCAGGATTGTCGGTAACTGGTTGTCTCATAGCCAAGCAAACTACTTGGCCCATATTTATCTATGGGACCTTAACGGGACGTGTTTAGCCACTAATGCCATCATTGACCCCTTTTGTTTTCTGTTTTCATTCTCGAAATTATTTGTGCGAACGGTCTGGATGATTTATACATGTAAACATGCCTATATTTTTGAGCATACAGCTTCACTGCGTTGGTTGAAAGTAATTTTAGTTCGTTCCCACTTCCTTTACTTCAGCTCCGTTGACTTGCGGCAATATGACCAAACGGATAATCGATAGGCAGAGGAGGAGGAGGAGGAGGAAGGTGCGATTCCCCTGCGACTTGGCCGTAACGTTGCACGGGCGATTTGCACTTAAAGGGGCGGGATCGTCTGCGGGGGGAAACGGGGCTTGGCGTTTGCAAAGCCTCCCCCCCCCCGCCAGACTGAAAGCAGCGGTGCGTCCAGGTAAAGGGCAGGACTGAGCGCAGCCGATCGCCCCCTGTGTGCAGCGGCTGGACGGGAGAATTGAACAATTATGTTCAGTTCTGGTCCTAACCGATGTAGCGCCCTAGGCGAGCATCACCGCCGGCCCCCGCCCCCCCGTCAGAGGCAAAGTGAAATCGGCTGACAAGTTGGCGCCCTAGGCGGCCGCCTATGTCGCCTATAGGATTGACTGGCCCTGATGCACGGCTCACCAAACTGCTGTCTCCAAAGCTCGGGACATTGCTGTTAATTTCTTTCTCTTTTTATATGTGTAATGTCCGGTAACTCTCTCTTTGCCTCTGATAGCCAATCTAAAATGTTATCTGTGACACTTTGTACCTTTATTTTTCTCATCAGCCCTGTCCTACAAGTAGCTAGGATCCATCCATTCACCTCCTAAATGCTTTTTATAGTCAGGTATTGGGGTGGAGAGAACGGAGAACACTGGGCTGGGGTGTCCCCTGGATGGGATGCCAACTCCACTGCATGGTACACGCATGCACACACTTACACACAGAATTGTACTCTGAGTAATTTAGAGACCTCTATTAGCCTAAGTGCTTGCCTTTGGACATTTGACAGATATAGTTTGCCTAAGAACTCTAAAGTTAAAAATGTTCAAAAATCATTCAGAAAATGAAAATGACATTAATTCAATCCATGTCGCTATTTGTCTCCCCTCCTGCCTTCCCCCGGGGAAGGCCAGCTTCAGCTTTCCTCAGAAATGCTCAGTGCTTCCTCCAGCCATTTGTAAACAACAATTCGCAGCAGGGATGCTTTGACATTACCGTTGTTTTTTTTTTTCTGGTGTGTTGTCCCAAGAAATGCATATTCCATTCTTGTGTGCTATTTTCAAAGTTGAGGTTACGTTCGTTAACTTGACAAGTTCTGATAAAGTCAAGCTTTCAACACACTTCTTTTCTGGTTTAAATAATGTGCATGTAACATGGATGATTTAATTTAAATTTTTTTCGGTGTTGCCTCACTGATATTAATCAGATTCTACGAATGCAAATATGGCCACATCTAATACTTTTAGTGAAGTCTGTTGACATATATTTTTTTTGTTGCAATTTTTAAATATCTACTGTAAATTTTAACTGCTGTGATATTTTGCTGTTTGCCATTGTTTTCAGCGGCGCCTGCAGACTCTCTGCGCTTGAGCAGCTCGGTAAAGACCCTGGTTGATAAGATGGTGACTTTGACAACCCTGTGCACGCTCGCTCGTATTGCGGACGACAAAAGTTGTCCAAAGCTGACCTCCATAAACGGGGGACCCATTGAATAGCACTGCCTTTGTTTTCTTGCGCTTTTTCAGCTGAGTAAGAATGATCAGGTTATCTACTCACATGTCGTCACTCCTGAACCTCTTTTTTTTTTTTTTTTGTTTTGGGGAGGGGGGCCGTTCTGGAATCTGTGTTAGTTTGGCACAATCTGCTTTTCTCTGAGGAAAATCAGTGGAAGAACATGATTCTTGGTTTGTTCTGTTTAGCTTCTGCGTATGTGTGAATGTTGTGGATGGGAAATTGACCAGATAGGATGGGAGGGAGGCATTATGGGATTGGCACCGTGTTTGAGGCCCCTAGGCATGAAGAAAATAGTTTGTTCAAGCTTCTTTGCTGATCGTACGGATGCGTGGTTTTGTCTTCCAACTCGTAATATGGGTCGGGATCACAAGTGGTGAACTAGCAAGTAGAGAAATGACAAGAAACTTGTAGGTATGTCTCGAACCTGTTGAGTTAAAAAATACTCCGCCGAGGTTAAGAGAGGTGTGAGGATAATCAGAGGAGGGGTTGAAGTTGAAATGAAGACAAGTGTTGTAAAAGGAGGAAGTCATGCTTTGATCATGTATTGCAATGACCAGTTCTGTTGAGAATGTCCCTTTAGGGAAGATTAGAAAAGTATACAAACTTACTGTTTCCTTTGTCCGAGGAAGCACCCCATCGGGATGGGAACACTCCACTACTCTTTTTAATGGTTCTGAGCTGCTTTGCTTATCAAAAGAAACATTATCGTAGGGATTCTCAAGGTGATTATTCGCCGTCTGGTTAAAAGGATGGTCAGTCAATCATTTTTTTTTTTTCTTTTCTTCCTTCCACAGCATGTTATTAAAGACTTAAAAGCTTGATTTCCTTGACTTGTGGGTTAAGGACTGGACTGGACAAAGCAGGACAAGACACGTCCTCTTGTAGAGGTCAATAATGACACAGTAGATAGGTCTGTCTGGTCCACACCTCCCCTCAAAGGCAGTCAGGAGTTAGGGTCATGTTTCCCCAAATGCATGATGGGTAATGATATGCAGGAGAAGTTCTTTGCTGATCAAAAAAAATCTGCATTTATATTTGATCTTAGTTCAGTGCAAAGGGTCCCGAATGTTTTTCTGAAGTAGTTCGTTAGCTTTCTACCTGCGGAGCACAATGGAAAGGACTAAACTGGTTTTCAAACCGATAACCTTCAGATTGAAATATAAGGTACTTTTTTCTGTACTTCTCTGAAGTTAATTTGTCGAAGTGCGTTACTAAAAGACAGAGTCAAGGTGATGTGTCTTGTCCCCTGACCGAGGGAGGGAGGGAGGGAGGGAGGGAGGGTGGCGCTCAACTGTAAGTTCCAATCTTGGATGAAACCTGACTGCTTAATTGATAGGAATTGTGGGTGAAGAACTGACCCAAAGCAAGCTGCAGGAAATGGGTTTGTCATACCATTATGCACAAAGTGCTTCAGTGTAGCTGCTGAGTAAGCAGTGCCAGACACGGCGACCTCTGTTCGTCTTCCTCCAGCGTGCAAGCGTTCGCCGAGCAGTTGGACGGTGAAGCCGTTCCCAGCACCAGCTCATCACTCCTGGCCCTTTGTTATGGACCTCACCCTCCTCCTTCGCTCCAGCGGGAATCTACCTGGGGCGATATCCTCGTTAACCCTCCAGCGGGCCGGGCGGCTCCAAATGAGGCATGGACATATCTTATAAACAACAGTGACGTCATGTAGAACTCAGCGGTGATCAGGAAGCTGTAGAGCGGATCTGTTGGACTGCCAGACTGCTTATGAATCAGTTTGCACCCTCAAAATGGCAACTGTGAGCTCTCCGCTCCAAAAAATGTGTGCAGATGAATTCATGCGAGGTAGTCAGGCCGGTGTGCTGCCGCTGCTGTTTGACCACATCTGAGTATTGGTTTTTTTTTTGTTGTCCCACAACAGGAAGTCTTCTGCACCTTGACAGGAAGTGTGCTTTTTTCTTTTTTTGCCTTAATGTTGGTTGCTCCCATCTGAGAAGAGGAACAGTTTTTGTTGGGTTTTTGTTTTTTGCTGTCACATGCTGCAGTAAGATTGCTGAAAGATTGTTTATAATTTCTGCAGAATATATATGTTTGCTTGAGCCAGTCTAATCCAGCGTTTACTCTCAGCTGAACGAGTAAATTATGAGGCCGTGTAAATGAGACCAGTGGTATTGTGCTTTAACACTGCCTCGGTTACTCATATCCAATAATGTTCTTGCGTGTTCCTTATGTTTTAGTCTGCTCTGGGGGATAATAATCGGAGCTCTTGGTCTAGTGGACGCGGTGCCTGACAGTTTTTCACCTGCTTTCTGTGATTATTTAGCCCTGTTGTTAAACTGGCCCAACTGGTCTGTCAACAGAGGTGGAGTCAGTCATATGTTTGGTGACCGGGTGGGTGAGACGTCACACCTCGAGGCTGTGTTTCTCTTTCGAAGAGAAGCTCTTTGTGTGACCAATGTCAAAGCTGAAATGAAGAATCAAGTGACGCTAAACCAGCAGGCATTCCCCCCCTTTGAGCTTTGAGTTATTTAGTAGTAGAGCTGGGCGGTATGACCAAAAATTTATATCACGGTATTTTTCAAAGTTATATCAGTTTCACAGTACGCGATGGTATTTAAAAAATTTTTTATTTTCTTTAAGTATGGACTGGGCGTTTACAGGATTTTACAGGACACTTTTTTGTTTTACGTTTTTGCATTGTTCCCACATTAACTATGTAATTTTATTAGCCATTGTGCCCATCCGCTACCTTAATGATAACATATGGCTAACGTGTTTGTTGGCTAACTGCTTATAGATAAACGGCTAATGTTCAGGATGTACGCCGGCCAAGTTAACATTTTTAAGTGTTTAATACTTCAGTGTTGCTGGAACGCGACCTTTACTGACCTTGCGAAATTTCTCATAAAGACCAGGATGTCTTTAAGATGCTTCTTCAGGTTTGAGGTGCTACTTGACTTCGTTGCCACAACTTTATGGCACTGTTTGCATAGAGGCTTATCGACATCCTTAGCCTTTCAATTCTTGTCT